CCCATTTTTTTGGCATCTTCAAAGAATTACATAGGACTTCTAATGCCAAGAGGTAAAAATAACTTTTTTATTACTTTCTTGTGTGTTTTAGGTACCTCACGTTATTTAGTTATTAATGTGATTATTTAATTGCCCTATATCTGTATAAATAATCTAATACTGCTCCCTCCAGTCTCAGGGGAATGTTTCAATTAGTGACCTTTGAAAAACTATCATATAGTAAAGGCATCCCCCCTACATTTGTTACTAGATTTTAATTACAGTTTTACCAAGGTTGTAAGGGTTTAAACTAGGGTTTCCTATTGTGTGAAAATTTATGTGAAAATTTGAAAATTTGTCATGCATATCTATATATACAAATGCTGATTTGTTTGCACATTTTATAAACCAACTAGCTGGCCCGACAGATGTCGTCCTGTCCTATGTAGTTTTATGTCAAGTGCTCGTCCATTTTCAAGATGAGCTCGTTCGCATGGCTCAATCACGTCCTAGTTGAAGTTCGTTCGCTACGCTCACTCACCTTTTGGTTTCAAATTAGCTGTTGTCCTAAATTTAAAAAATAATAGTGCTGCACCCTGTTGGTAAACCGATTAACTTTTAATGCTATTGAACATCACAGAATCAAATTATTTAGTTAAAACAGCTGTTGAGATTCTTTAATTCCATCTAAATATGAGTACTCATAAGGTTAACATGGGAAACTCCAGAGCCACTTGGGCGGAGCCCTTTTGACGGATCTGCACCAAACTTCACACAAACCATCCTTGAATAATGTAATGTCTGAAAGTTCCATTACAATCTGTCGGTTTCGGTGTCTATAAAGGACAAACAAACAAACAAACATACATTGGATTTGACATATTTTATATAGATGGAGTTTTTGTTGTTTTATGTTTCATAGCCTAAGAAATCAGAAACGAGTCTTATCTTAATTCCAATGTGTCTGAGTGTCTGTCCTCCGGATGAAATTTTAAGCTTTCTAACAAAGTCCTTATTCCAATAAATCCGTTCACAAAATTTATGCGGGGGAAGTCACCCTACTACTGTACTTCTTTTGCTTAATGTATATGTTACAGTGAATGGACGTTTTGGTGACACCTCAGCTGTTGAGCTATAGTTTTAAAGGCAAGATTACGTGGAATAGATTTATTTTCCTAAAACCATCTAAATTTTCTTGAACGGAGTAATTAATCGCGATATTGAACACTTTTCTCCTGAGTTTTACTAAAAACGTCATCTATCGAATATTATTAAGCTGTTCAGAGAAGAATTACATCCGTTCAACGTAGAGACAATTGTTTATTATTTGCTGAGAGTATAAATAACCTTACGTCTTGTAATCAATCATTATGAAGTGACAGCTATGGACATTATAATGTAGACATCAACTATGGACCTTTTAAATTATTTTAAATGTCCATTCTATTATCATCACACAACTTTATGAATTGGGGTACGATAAGGCTAAGAGACTTAACATAATCAATTTTGATAAACCATCTGAAATATTTTTATAATAAAAGCACGTCTAGACAGAAAGATTATAAAGTAAACCTGACTTTATACATCACAACATCTATACAGTAGGTATGGCAGCCAAGTTTGTATCTACTGATTTGTCCAATCTCCGCGGGTTTAACAAGCAATCCGATTACGAAGACCCCATCTTGCCTTTAATGCTCTTCAGCCGATCCAATCGACAAGACACAATCCTATCAAACTCATTTCTCTTCCGCTAAGTCAAAGACTGTGCTTTTGAACGCTAAAGTCATCCAAACAATGCGAAGATTCGAAAATTGATTGTCTTTTACAGTAAACTTCTTACTCAGCCCTAAATAGTTTTACTTTTTAATTCTTACCTTTTTCCTTGCCCAATGCCCAATGGCAAACAAATTGTGCTTAGGTAATTGCAATAATCAGTGTTTATACCGTTCACACAATAACATATTAGTGGATTATGTAGGTGTTCTATCTTTGTGAGTAAGGTTACAGATTGAGTGAGTATGGCATTCTACTATCCTAATTGTTGTCAACAGTCCTATGTTACCTACTCAAACCCGTGTTCATATACTTCTCTCCGTTCACTCATATTAAAATATGTGTTTTTATAACTAAAATATAAATGTAACAGATTTTATTATGAAGCATGTCTTTCTTAAATCATTCTGACTTTTAGAATGATCTACAAATGTGTTGGTAAAATACGAATTAGTTAATTTAAAAAAAGAAGGTTTTTAGATGTCTCTATTAATTGATAAGTAGTTTATAAAATAAATTATACCACCTAAGTTTAGCGTAAACTCTAAACCAACTTGGATACATTTCAGACAGATTCGATTATAGGATGGAAGTGTTCGACTTCAGAAGTAACAGTAACTTTGAAAGGGTTTAAAATACAATTTGATAAATATATTTCTCCATGTCAATAGAATCTAATGAATATATCACTCTATATCAATTGAATCGAATGAGTAGTGAGTATATTACCACATTTCACAGGTTTTGTTGCAACATAACAATAAAAAACAGATGGGCCAGTAAAAAAGCGAAACAAGAAACAATCAAACTCTGCCAACGATATTGTCACTCTACATATGATCTGTTGCCATACACTTCACTTGTGTGGTCGAATTGCATTTAAAACAATAACAAACATCTGGACCAGCAAACAAAGCGAAACAAGAACCAACCAAACATTGTCAACGATATTGTTTCTCTGCATAGGCTCTGTTTGACATACATATCAACTGTGTGGCCAAGTTGCATAAAACAATAACAAACAGCTGGGTTGGTAAACAACGCGAAACAACCAAACACTGCCACCGAGATTGTCACTCAACATAGGCTCTGTTGACATACATATAACGTGTGTGGTCGAATTGCATAAAACAATAACAAACAGCTGGGCTGGTAAACGAAGCGAAACAACCAAACACTGCCACCGAGATTGTCACTCAACATAGGCTCTGTTGACATACATATCACGTGTGTGGTCGAATTGCATAAAACAATAACAAACAGCTGGGCTGGTAAACGAAGCGAAACAACCAAACACTGCCACTGAGATTGTCACTCAACATAGGCTCTGTTGACATACATATCACGTGTGTGGTCGAATTGCATAAAACAATAACAAACAGCTGGGCTGGTAAACAAAGCGAAACAACCAAACACTGCCACCGAGATTGTCACTCAACATAGGCTCTGTTGACATACATATCACGTGTGTGGTCGAATTGCATAAAACAATAACAAACAGCTGGGCTGGTAAACAAAGCGAAACAACCAAACACTGCCACCGAGATTGTCACTCAACATAGGCTCTGTTGACATACATATCACGTGTGTGGTCGAATTGCATAAAACAATAAAAAACAGCTGGGCTGGTAAACAAAGCTAAACAAGAAACAACTTACACTGTCACCGAGATTGCCACTTAACATAGGCTCTGTTTGACATACATATCACCTGTGTGGTCGAGTTGCATAAAACAATAACAAACAGCTAGGCCAGTAACCAAAGCGAAACAAGGAACAACCAAACACTGCCACACATACGGAATTGGCACAGCCGTAACTTGACTGTCGTTTGTATAGATGCACATTGAACCAACAACGCCAATGAATGCCTGGATCCAATGTACAGTAGTATGCCCCAGATGCAAAATTTCTTAAAATACTTTTTATCATAACAATGATATGTGTTAATTACATCCATACTAATACTATTATTTGCCTTTTAGAGCGTTGTTTTAATAGCCATATTAAAAATTGAAAAACTTTGAAGAAAATGTATCAAAAATAGTTTAATCGAATTGTTCAGTGTAGATTAACGTTTTTACAAATGGACAATTTAAAAATATTAAGTTTCGTAGTCACGATACTTTTTGCTATCAGCCTTTTGTAAACAAAACGTATTAGGATTATAAGTCCTCGTACGAGCTATTAGGCGAACCAAAAATTAATTCAGTGTTAGGTTTGATCAATTAGCAAATTGTGAAATCTACGTTTACCTACGACCGTTTTTTTTTAAAGTAGCCGTTTCAATTTAGTTCTTAGGATTGAACATTTTCTCATAATAGCATTGTTTACTTTCCTAACAGCGTAGTTTTACTCATAACAACACGGGCAACGGACCAATGAGGTTCAAGGATTGAGGGGAAGAAGTAAAATTGTAATGATTCAAACTTTAACTAATCAGCTGTCCAGGCCAATTTAATTGTTGTTAATTGGCCAATTTGTTGTTGTTTAATTGTTGTTGTTTAGTTGCCAATTTAATTTAATTGTGCAAATAATGTTTAGTGCAATGTTTCGTTGCGTCACTGTCAGTAGCAATGAGAGGTTATAAACTAAAACATAACCTCTCTTAGAAGCTATGAGTAGTGATTTTTAGTAATTAAAACACTGCCGTATGCAAAGCAGTGTACGCAATTCGCGTAAATATAGTGTTAGCAACACTAGTAGAATTTTTAAGGCTCTCGCCAAGGCTTCTTACCTTAGTGTCGTTAACACTATCTTTACGTTGCGTAAACTACTATTGCAAAGACAGTCTTAATAAGAAATGATTAAAGATTCTATTGTAGGATTCGGCCTGAAATCATATAACGTAAAAATATTTATTAAGAGGAATTCAACGTTTTTGTGCTCTTTTCAATGTCTGGTGCAACGGAGTTTACGTTAAAACTACGTTCACACAGTAAACTTTATTTAATTTGTTGTATACAATCCACCCTTAACGTTAACCCGATTTTTAAACGTAAAGCCTTACACAAATTATTAGCTGTTTGTTAATAATATAGCTGAACCCGCGAAGCAAAGATTGATGCAATACAGTAATTAGTATATGAAGACCTATTAATCAAGTAATAATTAACTACCTACAGGGAAATTATAATTAACTATCTAACAACAGGGTTAAGGGTGGACAACCATACTTTTAGCACACACGTATTACTATTAACTATACAGTATACATCCATGTATGGTGGTAAGGCCTCTTACTTTCACATCGTCGACGATGGACGGACATCCGAGTGTATCTATTTACCAACAACACGCATGTGGGGCGAAGTACGAGAAGTACACGATGTTGAGGAGTCACCGTCAAACACTAACACTGAGTGTTACACATTGACCCAGTCAACTGCCCCGCTCATGCGTCAACTGTCGGCAACGCTCGCGTCACCTCGGCCGAGCTCGCCGCCGAGTAAATAAATTGTATATCATTGATTATTGACCTGTGCCGACTGTGCGCGTATAATTTATGACTCCCGGATTGTCGTCTGGTGCCTCATTTTTTACTCAAAAAACAAACTGTAATCGTTTTAAGGAAAATGTTTTAAACTGTTAAATTAAAGGTCACCATGTTATCAGTATCAATGGGTATTTATATTGATGTTCAAGGGGTGTGGGCTTGATGAAAAAATAACGAAATTTTATGTTTAACACGTTTCTTCAATATTCAATTTTTAATTTCTTTTTTTTATTCAATTTCAAAGCCAACATAGTCAAAGTGAATAAAGTAACTTATTTAAGTACAACTGTTACTATACACTTGTTTATTACTTTTTCTAGTATCAACAAACAAAAATGTAATTGCTTGCACACCACAGCAAGACTGTTTATATAATTTTGTTAATAAACACATGAAACCTTTCGCTTTCAAACTCTTTCTTCGTGTGTCGTTAGACATTCTATACTAAATATCTTTAATATTATTTTTGTTAAAGAGTTTACGAGTTCTCTCACATCCTACTGACGGATTGACACATGAAATCTTGAGACGGGCCACTTGATCCGTCTGAACCAGGAAAACGTGTAATTTGAACAGAAACTCCCTACCCTACCCTTGGGGGGCAAAAAACTTACCATCGTTAAAAAATCTTACCACTACGCGCAAACGGTAGGTGCCCCCTTCCTAATGATAAATGAGTTATCATATTTTCGATTCCACAAAACAACTTAATGTCTTTCTTAAAATAGATATTATTTATTGCATGCTTATGATAGCTATATGCTTAAGAACGGTCAACTATATAATCTAATAAAGCGTCTTAAACATGCACCTTTTATAAAACAGGTATTTCAACCTTCCTCGATCTAAAAACTAGCCTCAGTTTTAAACACATTGAAGTTGGTTAGAGCAATTGGATTTTTTTTTTTTGTTAAGGTCTGAAGGAATGCAAAATAAATGTCCAAAAAAGTTATTTAAGTTTGTACAACAGCTATCGTGCGGACATCAGCATACAAAGTTTTATTTTTATGGTATAGCCTCTGGATCACTGATTTTTACAATAAAAGGTTTAAATTACCTGTATCCGTCAAGTGATCCTGGTTTGTAGTTAATTGACTACAGCCGTTTCATGTTGTAAAAACACATCTTCAGGTCAAACGTATATACATTGATTTAATCCATGGAATGGTCGTCAAGGTTTAAAGTTCATAAAAATGACACATACACGTACACGAAAACATTAAAACATAAATTGGCCAACACAAAAATATGAAAAACGCGTGATAGGCATCGGACACGTACGGTGCCGCTAGAAGGTAGGTCATGACTGTCGTGTGCCGGAAGTGATAGCCCCCCACTATCAGCTGTTATCTATTGTGGTCTAAGATGCGTATGGCGGCATTGTAAACAATGTTCGACTCGAATGAGAGTTTTTCATTTAAGATGTTATCAGGCTGTTTTTTTGAAGCACGATATATTTCAAATTCTTCTAATGTGTCCATGTATTTTCCTTTGTTACATAAATGGAGAACGTTGAGATTATTGTTTATATCTGTATAGTTGTGGTTGGAGTTAATCAAATGGTTGGAAAATGCCGACTTAGAGGAAATTTTAGGCAGGTGTTCTTTGAATCGGGTGGTAAATGATCGTGACGTCTGGCCTATGTAGAAGCTTGGGCAGTCGTTGCAAGACAACTTATAGACTCCGGTTTTATTGAACTTGTTGTCTACCCCTTCTCGTTGGTATCTTGATTTTAGCATCGAGTCAAGTCTATTTGACGTCTTGAATGCTACAACGATGTTACTTTTTGTCATCTCGCTTCTTAAGGTGTTATTAAGAACAACGCCATACTCAGCACTGACGTATTTTTTATTATTCTCCCCATCCAAACTCGGTCTGGTCGTGTTGGAGTGTTTTTTAATGAGTTTATCGATTAAGGAAGGTTTGTAACCGTTGGAAACAGCAATGTACTTTAATATGCAAACCTCATTCTTGTAATCAGTATTGTTGAGGGGAATGGACAATAGGCGGTGGACATAACTATTATAAGCGGCAATCTTGTGGCTGTATGGATGGTGTGAAGATGCGTGTATTGTCTGATCAGTCGTGGTCGGTTTTCGGTATATCTTAAATTGCAAACTATTTTCGTTCTTTGTAATAGTGACGTCCAAGAAATTTATTGAATTGTTGTTTTCGGTTTCTAGAGTGAAGCTTATGTTGGGTTCGATACTGTTTAGGAATGTTCCAAATAGTTTTAACTGTCTCTCGTTGCCATCAAACAAGATCAAAGTGTCATCGACATATCGGCAGTAAAATGACAACTTGTTTTTATGCCGGTTATTATCTGACCATAGGTGCTGATTTTCGAAATGGTTCAAAAATATCTCAGACATGATGCTGGAAAGGGGGGATCCCATTGCCAAACCTCTATTTTGAATGTAATAACTATTCTCGAACATAAAATAGTTTTGTTTTAATACACAGCTGACTAGATTCATTAATTCATTTTTGGCTTCTTTCTGTAATTTAGAATGCTTCTCTAAATTATTCCTTAGAATATTTATTGTTTCATCAACAGGTACATTAGTGTATAAATTCACTATGTCAAACGATGCAATAGTATGTGATTTTTTAAGCCTGATATTTTGAACTCTTTGTACTAGATCAACTGTATTTTTGATGCTGTGATTATTTTCAAGGACTATTTCATTTCTAATGATTTTATCTAATTTCTTAGCGATGTTGTAGGCAGGGGAAGGTCTAAAATTGACTAACGGTCTCACAGGAACATTGGGTTTATGTATTTTTGGTAACCCTCGTAAAATTGGTGGTTGGGGGTTGGTGACCTTTGCGTATCTTATTTCGTCTTTGGACAATAGATTAGTAGATTGAGAAATTAATTTATTTATTTCCTTTGAGAATGATGTAGTGGGATCGTGGCGTAGTTCATCAATATTATTATTTGTAATAAAGTCGTGGACTTTGTTTACATAGTCATCTTTACTAAGGACAACTAAACAGTTCCCCTTATCGGCTTTTGCGATAAGAGCGTTGCTTTGTTGCAGCTTGTCCCTTATGTTTGCTGCGACTTGTTTCAATGACCTGTACTTAGACAAATACTTTATTCTAGATGTTGGGTTGTTGATTGTTTTCTTTACTTTATTGGAAATCATCACTCTAGTTGTGTCTCGTGCTTCGGTTGTTTTTAAATATTTTATTGCTGTTTCGGCATTGAATAACTCGGATATTAGGCTATTTTTACGGTCATTTGGGAAGTTAAAATTTAATCCTTTATTTAAAAGACTGAGCTCTGCATCCGAAAATGTTATGTCGGTTTTGTTTATCACTCTAGGGTGAAAAACATGATTGCATTTTATAATTTCACTACTCAACTGTGACTTACATAACATTTCAAATTTCTTAGCTTGAGTTTTCCTTTTAGCTTGAACTTTCTTTTGTATTTGAAAATCCAATTCCAAGAAGACGTTATTTTGTTGTGTGTGATGTAAACTGTTCATTAACTCAAGGTGTTTATTTAGGAGAAGTTTGTTTATCATGCTTTTCTTGGCGTACAATGACTTAATTTCATTTTTAATCCAGGAAGTCTCAGCTACTCTTTTTGCTATTCTAGCTTCATTAGAATTGTTTGAGATCCGATTCAAAGAACACCTGCCTAAAATTTCCTCTAAGTCGGCATTTTCCAACCATTTGATTAACTCCAACCACAACTATACAGATATAAACAATAATCTCAACGTTCTCCATTTATGTAACAAAGGAAAATACATGGACACATTAGAAGAATTTGAAATATATCGTGCTTCAAAAAAACAGCCTGATAACATCTTAAATGAAAAACTCTCATTCGAGTCGAACATTGTTTACAATGCCGCCATACGCATCTTAGACCACAATAGATAACAGCTGATAGTGGGGGGCTATCACTTCCGGCACACGACAGTCATGACCTACCTTCTAGCGGCGCCGTACGTGTCCGATGCCTATCACGCGTTTTTCATATTTTTGTGTTGGCCAATTTATGTTTTAATGTTTTCGTGTACGTGTATGTGTCATTTTTGTGAACTTTAAACCTTGACGACCATTCCATGGATTAAATCAATGTATATACGTTTGACCTGAAGATGTGTTTTTACAACATGAAACGGCTGTAGTCAATTAACTACAAACCAGGATCACTTGACGGATACAGGTAATTTAAACCTTTTATTATACAATGTTTTACACTACCCCTAGCTTATTCAAAAACAAGAGCTCACTTATCTATTTATTTATTTATTTATTTACGGCGAAATCGCCTTTTGTACAATCAATTTAATGCATAACAATTTGTGGATCAATAAATACTATTAACATACTGTAAGTTTTACATCTTGCTATTTGGTTATGCTTTATGAATATACTTATCCATTATTAATTCGTTGTTTCAGCATATTTTACATGATAGTTAACAAGTAGCAATGTTTTACCATGGTATAATTTCCAATGATGTTCCAAAGTAAAAAAAACATTGAAAAACTGTTTACAACAAATTTTGACGTAGGCCTATAAATTAAAGTTTTTTGGTAAAACATGTTTCATGTTCAAAACCTAAAGATATCAATAGATATACCATACAATCTCTTTTAAACATATGCACAATCAAATACCTAATACTGCACGATATAAAATGTCATTCTTTTACTAGACACAAATGTCATCGACTCGCTTTGCCATTGTAAACCTGTACTAATTAATTGAGTTCTGTCAATTGGTAAATGCATTTACCCAGCCAACAAACGACATCATTAATTGGCCTAAATGATGTACATTAATTTTATTTATCGGACTGAAATATGAGGATGATTGACGTTAGTTGTTTAAAAAAAACTTGTGATGTTTAAAATATTGTTATAATAATGTAGGTACCTACTTA